GGCATACGCAGACGTTCGGAGCTCCGCGCGGAGTGCTCGGATCGGCGCTGGCCCCCCCCTGGCCGCGCCTCCAGTGCCGCCCCTGGCGCTCTCCGCGCGCCATGGAGGGTGGGTTCAGCGCAAATCCGAGAAATCTGAGAGGGCCTTCACAATCTCATGTTTATGCAGTTTTTCCGTCTTCCAAAACAGAAGGCGGGGCAAGTGCTTGCTCATGCTCATGCATCTCTGCCCCTTCCCAAAGGTCTCTCTCTCTCTCCCCCCCTCCTTTGAGGGTGATGGGGGAAGAGGGGATGAGCATGGGGACGCTGCTGTCCCCGTAAAAAAGTGGTGGACACTCTTCGCGGGAGGCAGGCATCTTGGAGGACTGCACGTCTCTGGGGCTAGCCGAGATAGACATGCACCTGCCGTGCCGTATATCGCCTGAGCAGCAACGCTCGGAGGAAGAGGAAGAGGAGGAGGAGGAGGAGGAGGAGGAGCAGGAGGTGGAGGAGCAGGAGGAGGGGCAAGAGGAGGAGGAGGAGGACGAGGAGGAGGAGGAGGAAAATTCGTAGCCATTTTGGCTCACGTCCGTAGTGTTTTGGCACCGGATCTGACCTTACTGGCACAGGGGAAGTCGCGACCCCCGACAGTTTCGGACACCCCGTTGCTTGGTCAGACGCGGTGTTTTGGCTTTGCTCGTCGAGCGTCTCTTTCCCACACCCGCACATCCATGTGCGATTCGGCTGCTCGCAAGGATGTCTGGTGCTGCCCCAGAAAGAAGTGCGGCTTCAAGACCAACTCCAGTTGGAAGAAGCACTGCTACAAGTGTGGCACGGCGCGTCCTCCAGCTTCTGCTACTGGGCCTCCTCCTCCTGCTCAAAGCGCCTGGGTTCGAGGTCCGCCCGCTGCGGCTGCCGCCAAGCAGCCCGCCAAGCCCAAGCAGAAGTTGCTTGCCGAGGACCAGCTGGCCAGGCTCGTGCATATGTCGGATGTGGACTTCGAGTTGTGCAAGAGTCTTTTGGGCCCCGTGCAGAAGGCGCGGGTCATCGCCAGGCGTGCCTTGGCTGCTGGAGACCCTCGCGCCGTCTCCAAGCACGCGCAGGATGTTTTGGACGACCTCAAGTCCTCCTCCTCCTCCTCCGTATCCTCTCCGTATTTTTTTCCCTCCTACTCTTGTTCCTGCTCGTCGACTTCCTGAACCTCGTGCTCTCCCTCCTCCGCCTGCTCTCTCCCTCCTGCTGCTGCTTCTGATCATTATGCTGATGGTGGTCATGACGACGATGATGACGACGATGACGATGACGGCGGCAATCGATGACGATGACGGCGGCAATGACGCTGCTGCTGCTGCTGCCGTTTTGTATGACATATTGGCGACGACGAGGATGTGATGGTAGTGACGATGCCGATGGTCATAATGCCGATAGTGGTGATGGTGATGCTGATGCTGACGATGACGATGACCATGACGACGGCGACGATGACAATGACGATGATGCTGATGATTTTGATGATGGTGATGATGCTGATTATGATGGTGGTGACGATGCTGATGACGATGATGCTGGTGACGATGATGATGATGCTGATGATGATGCTGATGCTGCTGCTGATGATGGTGATGGTCATGATGATGGTGGTGATGATGAGGATGAGGATGATGATGCTGATGATGATGATGATGATGATGATGATGATGGTTGTGGTGTTGATGATTTGGCTGATGATGCTGATGCGACGATTGTTTTGATGACGAGGAATAGTGCTGAGGAGTTCATAGTTGGAGGAGAAGGTGGAGGAGGAGGAGGGGGAGCAGGAGGAGGAGGAGGAGGAGGAGG